CCGGTCACGAACAGTCATAGTAATCTTCTCTCCAAAAGCCTGTTTGAGCACCTTGTGTGCTTTATCAGAGCTCCAGCCTGCACAGTTTTCCCCATTGATCTGGAGTACTTGGTCCCCAAATCTCAGACCAACCAATGAGGCTGGAGAATTTGCCTGGACCAGCTGAACAAATATACCCTAGAGAATAATAAAATAACTTTGGTCATTCACCACTGTTATGGTTTAAAAATGCTGGAAAAGTAGGAACCAACTGTTCAGGTTAGGAATCTACCCTAGTAAAAAAAAAAAAGAGCGAGGGAGACAGAGAAGCTACATGAATATATATGTCGTTACTCCCAAAAAGGAAACTGAAAATTTTATCAAGGCAATGAGATCTCACTAGTAATTTCTACCTCAAATCATGACCCACCACCCACCTGACCAACCTCAATCATCCCCTTCGTCTTGGAATAAAAAGTCTAAGGAAAATAAAGTAGGGTTTCCATAATAAATGTAAGCTCCTATGAGTCTGGTAGAATACAAGACAGGTACTGGCACATGGTTTTTGTTAACAGGGAAAGCGAGTCGACTGTTAGAAATTTCATGATTTTAGTTTTAAAAATGATAGTTTAGTGTAAGGTCCTAACTCTCCTTACAGCTGAAGGACTCCTTAACCCATCTGCTAAATTATAGATAAATAAGATTAGGGTTTATTTAACATCCTAAAAAGGTGGGTACATTTAATACCACTCCAGTTCTTAGAAGGAGTCCACTATGACATACAGAAAACTCAAGTTCAGTTGATAAAGAAATAAACTCACATGGATATTTTTATTTCTATAAACTCCCAATCTCAGATGTTGGAGAAAATGTAAACAAGTATAAAAGAAGAGTAAAGTTGATAAAATATGAAAGCATCAAAAAAATATATGAAAGCATCTACAAAGTCGGACCCTTTCTATCCTCTTAGGCTGGGTCAGACATAACTTCTGTCCTGTGTCTTACAGTTTACTTTAGGGCAATACTGGAAACTAGATGGCACCCTGTAAAATGGTCAGAGCAATGAGTTTTGGCCAAATGGAGAAATCCACTGCAGGGATAACTGCATTGGAGATAGGGGCCTATGAAGAGTGTCTTGTCTTTTGAGAGAGGAGGGAGCAGAGAAGAAATCCTGGCAGATGGGCAGCATGTACTATTCAAAAGGAAGGGAGAGCAGAGAAGTCAGGGCTTCCGGAAGAAGCATGCTGCTATGTCCTGAATAAGTTATGTGTGTACAGTCATTGATGCCCTCAGCCCTCTGGGTAGGCAGCCAGGGTTGGGGCTTCCTGCCAAGATCAGACCTAGCCATTTACCATAGTGTGGGACACTCATTATCATTTTCTTTGTGAAAAAGTTGGACACACTGAACTAACAAGACTTAAGACTTATAATAAGGAATCCAAGAAGTAATGCCTAAAACCACATATCGGGATAAAGACTCAGCATGTCTTTAACAATCCTAAATACCTCCTCAGAGAGTAACACTGTTTAATTTCCAGTAATTATAAAGGTAAAGGAATGGCTGCCCTAATTAGAAAATCACTTTTACTCAAAAAATGACCTATTAAATTCAAAATGAAGGATGGAAATAATAAACCTGCAAACCCACTTCACAAGTTAAATGATCATTATTTAATTTAAAAATACACACCACAAAGGCCACCAATTCTCACTGGTCAGTCTCTTAACATCACATATGATGCCCTATTTGAATGCCATAATTTTATTTGTATAAACTATGTTATAATACATGAAGACCAGTGAACTTTATTCCAGAAAGAAGACTCAAAGAAAAAAAAATTCATTTAAGGTAATGAAGTACCAACTCTGCCTCTTCAGAATAAGGCATCTCCAAGTGGAAAAATTTAAGTTAGCAGATTTAAAATGATTTTGATTATAAATGCAATCTTATAATTAATTAAAACACTGTAAATTATTCTAATAGTGATCACTTATCTCAAGCTATTTGGACAAACTGAAATAGAATTAAAAATACTTACATTATCTACTGATTTAAGCCTGAGCCCAATTTTTCCATCTTGATCCTTACACAAAATGACTTCACGAATCCCTTGCTTAATTTCTGCTCTACGAATTCCAACATCGTTACCAGTTACAGGAGCCACCATATAGTTCATACTGGAAGGTCTTGTTACCAACTGCTAATAAAAACACACATGATGTGTCAATACTTAGAAACATTCTCCATGAAAAAAAAAATAATGATAATTAACTTGAATATACTCAGTTGTGGTTTCCCAAAAAGTAATTTGCATACTGTTTCCTTAGATAAAGTTTGATTTACCCAAAAGGACCCTAGTTTTTATTTACTAATTATTAAGGAAATTTATCACCTCCAATAGACTTAATGACTTACCTTCTGAATTCACTGGTATTTGCTTCATGTATACTTTGGCTTGTCTCCACTCAAATGTATTATCCTCAAGCTTAAAGGTCATATCATACTTCTGAAACTCACACAACATTTTCCAGAGGGTTCTTTTATATGTGATCTGATCTTTATTAGCCATCTGCTGACCCTTTCAGCGTTTCTATAAGAGGGGGCACCTTCTTACCTCACAGTGCCACTGTGAGAATTAAAACTGCATGTTTGGGCGCCTGGGTTGGCTCAGTTGGTTAAGCGACTGCCTTCGGCTCAGGTCATGATCCTGGAGTCCCGGGATCGAGTCCCACATCGGGCTTCCTGCTCAGCAGGGAGTC